TCCGTTCCACTTCTCAGACCTAGCCGAAGGTCCCCTCTCATATATCCTGTGAATAGGATCCGGTTGGACAGACGGCCACGATGTATCCGGTGTTATTCTAACACCTTCAATTCTGTGGTAATATAGTCACAGGACGCAACTGAGATTAATATATATGATGACGTGCGGGCCCCGTAAGGGAGCCAGAGTGGGGTGTTGGAGACCAGAGATTCCGTTTCCGAGTGGTGTTACCCTACTTAGGGTGGTTTCTAGGTATCGGGTTCTGGTATTCCTAACAGATACCCATGATTTATTATCAGTGATGCTGATCCCCGCTTCACCGCCAGATTCTGGAAATAAACCTTGACTTCCCTTAGAATCAACCACATTATGGCTGCTCCTGGACATCATAAGACTAATGGCCAAGCAGAACGAAAGATCCGCGAAGTCAAGACTGGAATTAGGAATATGATCAATGAATAACAAACTGGGAACCAGCCCTCATTGAGCTCGCCATATATATTAATACCGGATATTCAGACACCTTGGGGATGTTTACATCCAAGGCAATCTTCGGCCGCCAATACCCTCTCCTACCTACAACTCTATTCAAGAACTCCTCAGTCCCTGCCTCCAATGACCACCTAACCCGCTATCAAGCAATTTGGAATAATGCTTTCCAAGCTGTTAAAGCTGCCCGATTCCAGCGCACCACTACTGCTCAGAAGCAACGACGCAAACATGTTCCTATTCCACCAGGTGATATGCTCAAGGTACATAGAAACATGTTTATTACCAATGTGTAACGATCCCTCTCTGGATAGTTAGTTCTTGGCGACGGGGAATGATACTTCTCTTTCTGTCTTCTTCGTTCTTTATCTTACCATAGCTCTAGGCCTCTTCCTACATTACCGATAGTACAAAACCTCTGTCTTCTATCGGGAACGCCTATCGTAAACTTTCTCTAACTCATCTTCGTGAAGGACTTTTCTTGGCGTAACAATAACGGTGCAATAAAGATAAAGATCGTAAAGATGTTTTATATTCGTTAAAGTAATAAGTAGGAAAAGTACTTAGAATAAAGACTGATGAACCTATCTTCCTCGGCCGCCTCAGCCTCCTTATATAGTATTCTTCCTGCTCATAGTCATGTGACCTAAAGTGGTCACATGTGCGAAACCAAATCATAACAAACTAGTAATGTGACCAAAGTGATCACATGCTCAAAACCCATGACCTCATAGCGAGGTCATGTACAAAAACTCATAAACCAATCATAACGCAATAAACAAGTCATATGACTCGACTGAGTCATATGCGCGAAGCCCATGACCTCATAATGAGGTCATGTGCGAAACATAAATCATATGCGCAAGGCTTACCCGCAAGGCACACTCGCAAGGCATACTCGCCAAGCGCACGTCCTATGACTCATACTTGAGCTATGTGTGAAAGCATCACAAATCCCACACATAACAAATCATATAACCCGAATGAGTTATATGCGCAAAACAACAACATACCTGTGACTCATAACCATGTGTCACGTGAAAACCTTTTTCCACGCCAAGCCACCTTCATGACACAATGTTGAACGAAGCAAGAAACTACAACCCTGATGGTGAGGACCTTTCAAGGTCTTATCTTTTGACGAGCATACAGAAAACTACACTATCCAGATAGATAGACACATATACTACCACAATACTACAGTCTTCTACGCCTCTGCTGTCAAGCGATTCCACCTAAATGACAACTCCAAGTTCCCTAGAAAAATCCACTCTCAACCCGCACCTATCATCAGTGATAAAAAGAATGAATGGGAAGTTGAAGAAATCTGAGATCACCACCTTTGGCATGGAAATGATCAATTCCTGGTCAAGTGAAAAGGATACCCGACGAGCGAAAACAACTGGGAACTACTAGAAGGACTGGAGTACACCATGGATATGGTGAACAAATGGTGGAAAGACAACAGGCCAAACGAATTCCTCCCTCCGATGATCAATTACATCACAATGTGCTGGACACCAATGATGCCAGAGACTGAGCGATGGCAGATGGAACTCGAAGCTAGAGATGGGTTTTGGGCACTATACTTTGAATCAGAATTCAAAAGTAGCGATGAGGAAAGTCAGGCTATGGAGCATGCTCTTGATAACCTCATCTGATCACCACCCTCCATCTAAATACCATAACGATATCAAACTATGCGGAACTTAATATGAGGCTACGACAACAGCTTGTTGGACTTTTATTGAACCACGATGTTATCCAACTTGAAGACTACTTCGCCATCCTCTGGGTGGACTACTGTCCTGATTGCGATAACACTTGGGTTGATATACAGCATGAATCTGGTATTCGTGACTACTGTGATTTGTATTTCTGTAAGTCTTAATGTTTTCTTAGGATTTCTTCATGTCCCTGGTATGACACTTTTGATGAAGAGCTGATAGCAGAAACTGAAGCCTTTAGTTTCTCAGACTCCACTTTTGATGATTATTAGGTTTTGTTTGTTTAAACAGTTGTTTTGTTTTGGGAAATGTAACCGGTACAGGTACTCAGTTATTGGTTTTGTTTTATGTTTTGTTTTAAGTATCGCTTTGATACTTGGTTTGTTTTAAGTATCGTTTAATACTTGGTTTTGTTTTATGTTTTGTTTTAAGTATCGTTTTGATACTTGGTTTGTTTTAAGTATCGTTTAATACTTAGTTTTGTTTTATGTTTTGTTTGAAGTATCACTTTGATACATGATTTGTTTTAAGTATCGTTTGATACTTGGTTTTGTTTTATGTTTTGTTTTAAGTATCGCTTTGATACTTAATTAGTTTTACCAAAGTGTATTAATTAATACCTTTGATTAGTTTCATTGATGCTAGACATGAACAGATTTGTGTATTTAAAGACCACTTGTTTCTACGATAGAAAGGCAGACTTTGACAGATAGTATTTCAATATACTTAGTTGAATGGTTACTTCTTTGTTCCTCAGTACACCCTTGAAGCCTCCTTTAGTTCTCAGCTCTTGCCTCCTCTCTGGAAGAGCAGGCTACCTGCTAACTATCATATCTATTACCGATAACGTGATTAGCACCTTGTGAACACCTTACATTCACTTACTGCTTGCTGGCTTCATACTAGAGGGGCTACAGATTCAGACCATGGAAGGCACTGGGTTGTTTGTTGGTCTTATAATTAGTTCTTGTACAGGCATGGCTTGGAGATGGCAGGTATGGGGCCTTAGACCTAGTTAGCTTGTAGTTAGTGGTATACTAGTTAGTGGTATCGCTGTGCTGGTAGGGGCTTGTTGTATACCTGTGTTGGCGGTACAAGTTTAAATAAAATTGAATTGAATTCTTAGTACCTTTCCTACTTATTATTTATACCTTTATGAATATGAAACACCTTTACGCTCCTTACTATTATCACAATATTTGTTACTATTATGATGAGAAAACTCAACACAAGGAAGAGTTAGAGAAAGCTTACAATAGAAATTACAGATGGAAGACATAGGTCTTGTACTATCAGTAACGTAGGCATAGGCCTGAGAGCTATCATAAAGAAGAAGAAGAAGAGAGGTACCGTTCCCCATCACTAAGTACTAACCATCTGAGAGGTGATCATTACAATAGATTATACTTAAAAATTGAAGTATAGAAATATTTCCCTCTACCACAACTATAATGGAACTTGCTATTTGTAAAATGTGAAAATCATCAATCTTGAATTGAGATTGTTCATCCCTTTCCTGTTGACATATGTTTAAAGATATTTGTAAATAGCAGAATTGTAGGCCAGATTATTGAAAATCTAATATATTCAGGAAAAACTTATCAAAAGAATGTCTTTTGTTATAAATATCTACCACTCTACTATAAATTGAATATATACAAGGATGAATTATATATATTATTGGAAACAAAATACTATATAATTAAACTTATGAAATAGTATAACTTAATTTTTAAACAAGTATATAATTTGATACTAAACAAGAAAGAGTTATCCCTATCCTAATTGTCTTTGATGAATTACAGGCTAAAGAAAAATACTGAGAATAAAAAAACAGAGTTTTAAAATGCCATGGTATTTTTATATCTACCAAATACTCCTTGGAAATTTTAGTTTAATACAGAAGAAAAAACTGAGAATAAGTGAAAAATACTCAGTTTTTCCGACATGCCAAATAGTGCCTTACTTAAATTTTCACTAATATTAATTTTTCAGCTGCTTGGATTTATATGTATTAATTTAAGTTAATGTTGCCAAGTCGTGATCTCAAATCAAATCATGGCAGCCAAACAGCTCCTAAGCTATTTCTTAAACGACATGGGATAGGATCTGCACGAAAAGCTGCCCTCATCTTTCAATCTTCAGACCGCAATGGATTAAGCCAGAACTAGCAAGCATGATCACAATAGGATCACTCTGCAAGTGTGTATTATTCAAACTTTATAGTATCAACTGTTGTAATATGACTTCCAAATATGCATCGGTTTTGTCATTGACTACGACAGAAAGTTTTAGTACGTGCTTATTACTTGCTGAGCTCATTACATGGTTGACTACAGTAGAGTTTCCTCGGAAACTCTACTCGTATCTTATAACTTGCTTGGTTTCCTCCCTTGCGTTTCCCTTCCCTTTAATACTACATTGTGTAGTATCGTTGTCGTTGGTTTTCTCTTCCTCTTCCGTGAAGTGCATGTTGTGGATGATTGTAGCACGCTCTCAAGTAGCATAAATAGGGCCCAAAAGCCCCCCGGTAGAGCATCAATAAAGCAAGAAGTACAACTTCAAACAAGAATTACAACATTAACTTGTATCCGGATTCAAAATTTGCACGTAACCTTACACCCGGAGCAGGACACCTTGCAACCTCCAAGTTTTCGTAAAGACAACTAGAAATTCGGTCAAACGGGCTCCAGGCCAAATCGGGCAGCAACGGGAAGATCACAAAACTAGACACAATAGGAATAAAGAGTTAAAAAGTAAAGGGAAAGGTGCTTGAGGTATCATAAGGTATCATAAAACGTTAGCATTTTTCGTGAACCTAGGAAACCCCGTCAGGAATTGGGGCGAAAAGAGTGCGAAATAGCGAAACCATAAAAGTCTACAATATTCCGCGATATTCTGAAGATCTCCACCAACTCCCATTTTTAATTTATCCACCCGGCAGTCATTGGCAATGCGCGTTCTCATTCACACATAAAAAAGCAGTCCCAACAATCTATCAGACAACACGATGCAGACCCATAGCCTCATAGGGGCCGCTAACCAACGGTGTTTACAATCTCCGAAGCCCTAGAAAGAGATTCGACCATCTGTTGACACTCCTTTCTTCGCCGTATAGTATATTCACTCTCTTTGAGAAGGGAGTCAAGTTCATCAGACTTATAGAGATTTTCAAGCAGCTCGCGTTGCATTTCTTCTTTAGTCAACCTGTGAGTGGTGTGCGGTCAGTATATAAACACATGTGGTTTTCAAATAGAAGCATTAGTAACTTACTGGACAAGATTAAGCATGATGGCTTTCGGAACCATGTCGATTACAGTTCTCCTCACAATGTTGTAATAGGAACTGATCAGCAGTTCTAGATCGCGATCAGCAAATCGTTCTAAACGCTAAATGTATACAAACTTACTAATAACCTCAACCTCAATTCCTTCCCTTTCCGACAGCGTGCCAGATGCCTTCAAGGTGGCTGGGGGAGGTTCCATGGCAGCCATCTTCTTCTTGTTCTTGCTGGCGAAAAAGCTTTGGAAGAATCCCTCAGGTGTAGAGTCCAAGGACTGGGGGTTGGGAGAATCTCTTCCGCCAGGGAGTGGTTTTCCAGTCTTGGGATCGACTTGGACGGGCTTTGAAGCATTGTGTCTGTCATTCACAATAGCCATTGCCTGCGACGCAATATCCGGTCAGTTCGAAAATGCGGAGCAAACACCAGATGAAGGCTTAATAATTACCCTATGGCCGTTGAGGAAATCCGGATGTCCGGTATTGATATAACATGCCTCCATAGCGACTAAGTCGGTTACCAACTTGTTTGTTGGAGACATTGCCTTCTTGAAGAATGCAATAACAACCTGATGAAACTTCTCCTTGAGACTTGGATAACGTCTAAAAAGCTGTTAAAAAAAAAAAAAATCAGAATAAACCATTATACAGAAAATGTCTGGAGTGCGTAAAAGAGCACCAACCTGCTTCTGAAGTAGGTGCGCCAAGATTCGGACCAATTCATCATAGACCAAGCTAACACACTTTAAGCTAGGATCCTCTAACCTCTTGATTTGCTGCTTCACGATGAGCTCGAAGGCAGTCGTTCCCACGAACAAGGCTGGCGATGAGCCGGAAGAGTTGTAAAGAATAGTTCGGATATCAATATCCTTGACTTGATCAAAAGGGTCTACAGCTTTCACGCCATTCGCATACAACTCATGGAACACGAAACTGATACGTGCGCCACCAGATAATTCAACACTGGAAAGTTCCTGGTTGTTACCTTCCAAAACTGTCCGATACTCATTGCAGAACTCGGTAATGATATTAAGAACGATATTGGCACTGTTCCCGAGTAAAGAGTCGCCAAGCGAGGAAAGCTCAGCGCTGTACTTCTGAAGAGACGAGGAGATACGAGCTTTAATTTCTGGCAAGGTTTGTTTGATGTGCATCATCAAGATCTACATGATAGGACTCTCGATCAGCAAACGAAGGCAAGCAGGCAAGCAAGCAAGCGATCAAGTTCTGTTTACCATATTCAATTTCCTTGCAAGATAGGGCGTTCCGCAGTAGGCATGCTTATTTCTATAAGCACGGTGCTCTTCAAAGAACCGCTTCTCATGCTCGAGCGCTGCCGAGATTGCCTTTTTGGACTCAATGTCACGCTGACCACGATTGACGACGGGTACGTAACCCAGCCGCAGAGGAATAATTCTACCAGCAAGGATATCAACAACATCGGTTCCCTGGTCCATCAAGTCAATTTTCGTCAAAACACCAATTGTTCGCTGACCTATCGTTCCACAATCAGCCAGGTTCCCCTCCACATTTCAGGCAGAACTTGCTCACCCTCTGGATCAACCTCTCTTGCCATCTTCAGACCGTCAGAGTTGGCCAAATCGGTATTGGCCGCTGTAACTGCCAGAATGATAGAGTTTGCCTTTGAGATTTGCTTGAGAATCATGTCCTTAATCTGTCTCTCGATATCCTTTGGTTGGTCTCCAACTGGAACTCTTGTCATACCTGGAAGATCCACCAAAGTCAAGGTTAAAACGTTGGGTGAATAGATCCTGAGGCCGATAGGCAGAGGAGATATCCCTTGGTTCCGGCCCGTCTTTGCGTCGGTCTCTTTCACGATTTCTTCTCGTATTTTGTTGAAATCATAAAACTTCTGGCCGGGGATGTGAAGGAATTCGCCCCACTCGTCCATATTAGCGGCGGAATCGCTGGACTTCATCACAGCTTCCTCTTTCGGGGCTCCATTTGCTTTAGCCAGCGCGGGGCGATTGACAAGTTGTAGAACCTATGATTGTTTGGTCAACTCTCGAAAGTTATAGGGTAGATGTATGCCTTACAAGAGGTCGTCTTGTAACAATACCAGTACCTCGGGGGAGACTAAAAAATTATCAACACCTTCACCAGCAACAGCGAGCACGATCTTCTTTACTCACAAGTCTCTGCCGACGATGTTCTCCAGCACAGAGCTTTTTCCGCTAGACTGAGATCCAACCACAACGATTTGAGGCAGATCGATGGGGTTTTGTACCTGAGCACCAATATAAGCCTCCACCTGAAAAAACAAAATGAAAAAAAAAGGGACGAGAGAAATAGGGGGGGGAATAAACATACTCCTACTGTCGCAAACACATCCTGTAGCTTATTCACAAGCGTAATCAGCCCAGGGTCGTTAACGTTTACGCTGCTATCAAAAAGTCAATCTTGTGGAGCTTCGAGAGACTCTTTGTTCAAGAGTCATTTTGAAAAACAGAAAAAGGAGGGGAGATCCGTACGCTTGTTGAGCCATAACGGGTCGGATTAAGAGGCAAAAGGATGGCTCCTTGAAGGGTCGGCGGAGTGGATGTGAATATGCGATGGGTGCAGACCGGTGGAGGGGGTCGGCTCGTTGGAGAAGCGGAAAAGATTGATAGGGTTTTGCGTACGTAGGATGATGTGGCTCGAATGCTGTTGGAGCTGTGGTCTGTGTGTCTCTTGTTTACCAACTATGAGTGGCTATAGGTCACGTGAGGGGGGTTGACTACGAGGCAGGGGCTGGATTATCAATTTCCCTCTTTGAGAAAAATTTTGGAGAGGATCTAAATATAAATGACCGATTCTGGATAATTAACTTTATCTCTGTTGGATGACATTCCTTTTACCCTTGCGCTTGCCAGGACTACCGTACTGGAGAGTGCCCGGCGGTAATTCTCCGGACCCCTTGACTTCCGCGTCATGCAACTTTATTATATCCCTTCCCTTAGAGAAAAACCGATATCCCAAACTCCCATCTCGATATTTCCTCACGCCCAGCCCCCCCCGAGCGTCTAGCACGCATCACCACGCACAGTGGTATGGTACAGGAGGGGTTGGTATCACTGATGAGAGTGGGATGAGAATCCCCCAACCCACACTCCACCTGGACTCTCCACCGGGACCCCCAATAATTATCCATGAGAGGCTCACGTCCTTCCCCCCCCCAATCTTTCTTTTCTCTGTGCTTAAAGGGTCAGCCTAAACGCAGCGCTTCGGTTTCATGAAGAGAAACTACCTTCTAGAAGTCCCCGCAACCTCAACGCCGGCCTCAACCACGTGTGGTGCTGGTACAGAATTCGTACAAGTACCTGTACCAGGAGATATGTTTTTGCGCAAGACAGGGGTACCGGAGTTAATCAGCAAAATAATCCCCGTTTCTCCGCACCTTATTTACAAGTACATACCTGTACCGGTACTTGTGCTACTAAAGATAAATTTACCCCCCCCACACACTCTCTCTCTTTTCCGCGGTACCAGTACTTGCCCAGTATATCAAAGTCGGCAGTGAGCGCTTCTGAGTCCCCGCTAGACTTGGTTCATCCTTCTCATCCTGCCTCCTGCCCCATTTTCTTCACGGCGCGCTCGGGATTTCCTTGAATTACCTGTGGCAGTGCAAAAAGATTCAGTTTGTATAAATATCATACTGACCACAACAAGTACTATTACTTGCACAGTGCTGAGATACCTTAGGAGGTTGGAGGTCTAAATATGTCCCAAACAGGGATTACAACCGTATCGTAGCACTTGTGGATTTCGCCTGCACCTATTTTGGTATCCCTCCTTTACAAAGCCCTGTCCTTATCCGCGGTCTGGCCGAAATCCAGAGCAGCGGCGGCAGCAGCCCGTACGGTAGGATGGGTGCTAGAAGGTGAGAAGGGAGAATTCGTCACACCCCAACTCACACCAGCATTGAAATTCATTCTCACACACGAGCCACAGATGGGGTCAGGAGTTTTTATAGATTCCCTGGTTCCAAAGATGAGTAATTGGGGGTTTTCTCTTTATTATTGGCGAGGAGCTCATGGTGGGTGTTAACAAGGGTGACAATCTCAGACTTCTCACTTTCTCGCACCCATGCTCCCCAGCGGTCATTCCGAGCAGCGACCTACCGGTAACTATCCGTCCCCTCGCCTAATGCTACAAGTACAGTACAACTCCGAGCCAAGATCACTGTAACACTCATACCCTACGATACTTGTAGGTTCATCTTGAGCTAAAAACGGACACCATTAAATTTTCATCCTCGCAGCCACAAGAATCCCCTGGGGATCCCCCAAACCCCTGATCTCCAACGTGGGGTCTTTGCCCTGCAGTTTTCTCCAATGCCAGTACCGTAATACTCGTACCGTAATTAGGTATGTGCTATCACCGGGATATAGGGCAGTCTGAACTTTTGGTGTCGGGTTTGACGACGTTTGGATATCGGTGTTCAATCCGCTCTCGGGCTGGCAAGGCACCGACTGGTACCCGTACTGTGCTTGTAGACTAGTATCGTCGCACTAGGAGGTCAACTTACCATATCAGCACTGCGCGTCAGTTGGGATACGGCAGTCCCGGACACTTAGTCTACTCGACTAAGACCGACCCTCTTGTTCGATCTGCTTCGTGATGATAGAGACAAAATTAGAGACTTGGCATAAATTTGTGTACTTGTATTGAATGTTCTCCCGCTAGAAAATGCACACCTGCCCTTCTCAACCAATAATATTCACTCGATAAGGGATTAGGGTTGATATAATTGAAGAGGGGCCGATTTTGAGTACCGGTATTTGGATGGAGTTCGTTTCCCAAAAAAACCCCTGTTGTTGTTGCGAAGCGTTCGTTCTTGGTTTTCACTTTGGGGAGCGTCGATTTCAGACGCACGGCACCATACCGTGAGATACCGGCACGATACGGTACGCTTCGGCATCGCATGCAACCATGTAACGTCCACGTCCCAGTGCCAGTACCAGTACTGTAGAGCCCAAACAGCAAAATAGCACTTTTCGTCTTCGGTAGCTTAATTGACTGTTTCAGAATTCCAAAGCCCCTCCCTTCGAGCCGTGCTTGCTCTCTTTTCGATCGATAAGATTGTTATCTTCGCAGGAACAGGCTCGTGTCCGGTCAGTTCCAATATGCACTCAGGCATACCGGTACAGTATGCGGTCCGGTCAGCATGGGTGCCTCTGGTTATCATACCGGTGTGTGCCGCTGCATATCGTAGCAGTTGTCTTGCTGCTGTACGATATGATACTCTGTGGGAGGAGGCATAACTTGCGGGGAGGCCGCCCTGTAGAAGGGGCTGTTTCACCGTAGCCAACCGACTGATAGCATACTACCCGCATGATTCCTCCGGCAGAGTTCGAAGACGGGCGAACAGTTGTAAAGAGCGCTGCAGGGAAATTAGGACCAAATTATGCATCTTGAAAAGTTAATGCCAGTTCTACTGGTCAAACTGCAAAACTCTAGTGATTGGGCGAGCAGCAGGTGAAAAAAACTCCAACGATGATCGAGTAGTGGTCCCCAGCGCCCACGGCACGGCACTCGTATGGGCAAACGCATTAACGATAGGCTATAACAGGCATTTAGCTCCTGGGTCGAGAGAACCTTTCTCCAGCGCCAGCTTTCGAGCGCATCTAATGGACGCTGGATAGGTCCAAACCAGGATAAATTAGAGTGCATCTGCCGGATTTGTATGCAAAAAAAAGGCGTTACACCCACCCAAGTCCTTCAACTCGAATACTTGCAGAAACCTTTTTCAACCCTGAAGCTGAATGCCTCGATTCTCTCCCGAGTTTTTATCATCGCCTGGGGGCAAGTCTCAACTTAGGATCACTTACTTTGTCGAAATCTCGTCACACTGCGTCTCTACCGCTGTCTCTTGTCGTCGTCATGCTCTAAAATGCCCCAAGAAGAGAGGGCAGCATTGCTCTTTGGTGATAGTAAACCGCTCACTTCTCACATCTGACCTTTCATGAGATTTTTGCTGTCCTCGAGTTCGCTATCTACCCTTGCAATGGTCCCGTTCAAGGTTCGCAGTCGCGCTCGTTAATAGTCGGGCAGAAACATCCGGATGTGTCGGCGGGGCTTCCTTGTCTGTGCCCCTCCCTTGCGCACAGCTTGCAGATGGGTGGGTGATACCGGTAGCGGAACGGGGGGGGGAGGGTGATTTGGTGTCTTATGGGAGGTGTGGGTTGCGCTCCCCCTGCCCCCACTTATCATTGATTCCTATTCATCGTACAGTAGTTTGCTGGTCCCCTCTTTCCCACTCCATAAGCACTCTTCTCGCCACAATCCCACCCTCCCCCCCCCAATGATATTGCCGGGGGCCGTATCATACTCCCCACCCCCGCCGCACAGGTATGGGGAGAATTTAGTGATGCTATCACATCGCCCTCAGGACATGGGTGGTTGAGGCTTATGCCTGTAGGCTAAGCCAAAAAATCCGCTCCTTGATGTTGTTTTTGACGCTGCCGCATGGGAAAGACATGGACGGTAGCCTTGCTGCTTGCTCAGCAGGCTCTCACACATCCGATGATGATCGGATGGAGTGATGTGTGCAAAAATGGAGTATGGCTTGGTAACACAATGGTGTTAGTTTGTTGATAACTTAAGTCACCTCGCACCCACACCCCATTCGTTTTATACTTTTTTTTCGAACACATTTGCCCCGACGCCTAGATGTTCGTGAACAACGATTACAATGCCCAGTACCATGTTTCTCACCATCGCTGTTCTCCCAGCGAGTGAGGGCGATGGTCCTATCGAGATGCACGCGAGTGACGACGAGTTCGGCGGCAATGTCTTGAGGGAGGATGGTGCGGGGTCGGGTTCTGCGCAACCCGACCTGTTCGTGACAGCAAAGGAAATGTTGTGGCTACTTCCTGGGATAAACGGTATTGTTAGGAATGCTTTGGATCGGATGAAAAAGGCTTTCGCATATAATTCGGTTTTTTTCCTCAAGGTTATTCTCGACCTTCAGGCAACCTATTACTCGCTAAGCCAGCCACTCCCGGCCGACGTTTTTCTCGAGATCGATTTGGTGTTGAAGATAGCGGAGGTTTTGGCCGGGAGAATGGTGAGGAAGGACAAAGATGGCATTTCACCTTCGAGGGAACTACAACTCAGAACCCTGGTTTCGGCCTTGTCACTATTGTCTCAGCTGAGCATCGGAAAACTCGACAACGGTGCCTACGCAAAGCTATTAAAAGATATTTCCGAGAGGGACTACGACAACCTGGCAAAGTACACGGAGGATTTCGGGGAGAGGGTTAGCAATGGGGATGTTGAGTTTCTCGTTCGTTATGCATGCGATCTCATCCGATGCATGCCTAGCGAGCTTCCGAAATTTACGGAGATGAATTCTCAGGCTATTCATTTCCTTTTCGCAGCTGGTTACATTGTGGGTTGCCTAGTTTTCGGCCTCACCCATTAGTTTTTGCTAACTATTCCTTAAGAACCAACTTGAAGGTGCGACAACACCAACAGCGCTCGATAAGATATGGGCCAGAATCACGGCCCCACCTTCGGGATGGCACAAAGACATGCGCCATCTCTACGAGGGGACCGCGGGGGCGATATCTCTCCATCACCAGGCTCAATATAGCAACATTGGGCGTGCCTCGCAGTATGCTAGCAGTTTGGCGGTTGAAATTGCTAAATCTATTGTTGATAAAATAGAGCTTGGCCTGAGGGCATTCGCTCCATCAGAGGGATCTGATAGCGATGGCGAGGAGGGCGTCACGCGGGGTGAAATAGAAGATCCCCCGAGTCTTGAAACCAGGCTACTGGTGTCTGGGCTCCTTGACCTGACGGGTCAGCTGGTTATGGCGTTCCCGGAATGCGATGAGATTGTGGAAGATGCTAAATCGTTGGCGCTGAAACTTGTTCTAACCTCGGATAAGAAGGAGTTTCGAAACAAAGCTGTAAGGGTTCTCCTTTGAATGTTGCAGGTCGACAACGTGGCTTATGGTTAAATTTATAGTTTGAAATTATTATTTCAACCACCGCTGGCTGTAGTGAGGAGGAGTATTATAACATAATGCGAAGCTTAGATCTTGATATTGAGAGTATATCACAAGCCGGGATCCTACCTCCTACAGATGAAGACGAATCATTAAGGATAGAAGAGCTAAAAAGGGAGAAACGGGATGCCATGGATCGTTGCGAGAAGAGGTCGTTTCTTTATAAAGGTGCTGTGGAATCCATGCAACGGCGACTCCAAGGGATACGGGCTGCACGATCGCCAAGCCGGGTATCACAAACTATCAATGAAGCTCTACATCTAGCACCATGGGGTGAAGGGATTAGATCTACCACTTCAACGAGCATACCCAGTAGCCGGCGCAGTCAAGTGCCAACTCTATCCAGTCAGTCACCAACCTGCGACACAAACGTCAGCAGAACATCAACCCCTACTTGTGAATCAGTACTCGGTCCTATTGGGATGTTACCCAGCCCCACCGATTCAACAGCATGCAAGTCTTTCACAGAAAGCACTTGCCACACCTTGCTTAGCCCGGTACCCCAATGTGACTCGCCAATAGAATCCCCTGTCCTTCCCTCTTTGATCCCGCCAAATATGACACCTAATGCCGCCTACCCTGCACCTACCACACCTCATGAAGCTATTACGCCAAACCTGGACACCACCTTGCGCTTCAATGGGCTTGACCAATTATTTGCCGATACTATGTTTGAGGAACCTGAACTTTATGACGAAGACATCCCTTCCTCCAGGGCTAATGTGGGGAAATTGGACTTTGAGCTCCCCATCCAGTCCCTTGACATCGAAGACGATCGCTCGACCTTACCACTACAAGCGCCAGAGGAAGACGAAGGAAAAGTATTAGAGACCTCAGATTCCAAAAAATCCAAACCCATGAACTCTCGACGGATATCTATTTACAGCCAGGCCATAGTTGAGCCACCGCTCCAATCGCCCACCTCCATTTACCCGGAGCCTTCCTTATCGCGAACGCCATCAGGTCAGACACAAACAAATTCGCTAAAGCGCCAGTCCCGCGCAAGCAAACTTTTCTCACGAGGGCATGGGTTGTTCATTAGTCGCGATTCCAGACGTTTCCACAGTCTGCAACTGAACAAGCCTCTTCCACTTATCGATAGGGAGACCATTCTTGCCGAGGAGGCACCCGAGCCTGTACTTCCCGGCCAACCAGCGCAGCCTATCAGGTCGCAGTCAGCGTTGGAGATGCGGGGTGAAGAGATGGATCGGTTTAGGATGGAGGGCGCCTCATCGTCGAACCGATACCCCTTTAAATATGGACTTCCAGCATTACACCCAATACACTGTGGTGTCGAGCCTGTTCCTGCAGCGGCAAACTGGTCAATAGATTATGAGAGCCAACCAGTTGAAAGCGTTTTCAAGGTGCAATGCAAGGACTCGTGCTTCAGCGCTTTTATATCGTCGGATGCTAAATATGCTGTCTACTTGTCGCCTCACTCTTTTCAGGTCTTTTCAACGCCTTCACCCGAAGAGAACTTCTTAACAAAGCCGAAATCCCACTACAGATTGGGCTCGGCGGAGGGTCTGCGGAAAGCGAAGGTACCGTGGGCATACAAGGCGGGGGCTGCTTCAGACAAGTACGTTGTGACGATCACCAAGGAGAAGGTATGCATCTCATATCCTGTAGGTTGGTCACTGATACTAACAATTTCTTTTTTTCCCCGACAGGTCCAGGTCCACGAGATCGAAGACTGTAAAGTTATCTTCACAAATGAACCCACAGCCGGCTGGGAGAATACTTGCGTAGCTATCGGGGGCGACAAGATAGTCGTCGGAATGTCCAAGAAGATACGCGATGAAACCCAAGGTCTAATCCGAATCTACAAGATGAACGCACCAACCTACCAGGGCCCCCGATTTGAACTAATAAAAGACCTCCACCTCCCGCTGAACGTCCGCGCAATTTCGGACGCTCCGCACATAATCACCGTATCCCAAGACGGCAACCATCTAACATGCGCGACACTGGAATGCGGCTACTTTTTCTCCTGGGACATTTCTCGTGTGCGAGTAAGGGAGCCGCACCTAATTGCCAGGGGTGCACTAAAAGTTACCGAAGTAAGCTCCCCCCACTCTTCCCTTTCGTCGGACAAGAAACTAACCGCTCCCAGGGTCCCGGTGCCGAAGCCATCTCCAATGCAGTTCTCTTCCCTAATAAACGCCACATTTTCTGCAGCACATTCCCAGCAAGCACCGTAGAAGCAGAATGGGGTGGCTCCTTTACCGAACCCACAAGCATCTCCTCCTCGACTCCCTCCCACAGTCCAATCCGCCAAGTCGGTCTTCGAGTAACACACTCCGCCATCGCACCCCTCGGCAACGCAGCAGCGTTCCTGACCAAGTCCGGCCTCATCTGGATTACCCCCGTTGCGCATGTCGAGGGCGATAATAACCTGACTACCTTTGCCGCGCTGCATAGTAAAGAGCGCATGCAAGGGCAACAGACACCCAAGAGTGCGGGGAGGATTGCGTTCACGCCGGAGGGTGACAGACTTGTTGCTGTGGACAGAAAGGGGAAGATGCTTACATTGAGTTTTAAACGGAATTGCACGCCCGTTCTTCCCACGAAGTTGGAAGTCGGGGGGTTCTATTAGGTTGTGGTGTTAGGTGGAGGAGAGGAAGAAAAATAGACTCATTTTGAGGGAGTTTCCTTTTACTTATTCTATTATTACTTTTAGTTTTGGGTTGGCTTCTTACACTCTTCTTTCATTGCTTCAGTTTTTTTCATTTATAGACATTTTGCTTGTGTGATTTTGGGACGGAGCGGGCGCAGGAGTTTTATTCATTCATTCATCTCAATTCATTCCAACTCATTTCATTTTTCATGGCAGTCATTCATTTCCGTTGTCACATGGCAAGGAAAGCGGGCTTGGCTGGGTTTTTGGGTCGTTGGTGGGAGGGTATGGGAGGGGCGTAAAAGGTGCATCCATGCATTTCTCTATTTTACTTCAGATTGGTCTATCCACATTGTAACTTAGCCTGTCGCTTCATTCGTCCGTTATTCTATGGCGCTAATAGCTTTTTTTGTCATTAATTCCGGGGATTAGTGTAGTATATAACTTTATGCTACTGAATAGTCTAGCACTTTAATCAATCCTCATCAGCAGCGCCGTTACCTTACAGCACTCGACTTGTACCTCCACTCCGCACCATGAAGGTTTCCCAGTAGCTTGATACACGGGGCGAGTTGACCCACCGGCATACTCCTCTCCCTAGAGCGTAGCATAGGTGTCCTCGCTGCTCTCTCTCACCAAACGGACTAATATGGGAAGGGAGAAAGCCGACGTGAAATCATGCTCTATCACTCGGCATAACGATTGCGCTTCCCGCCTCCCCCGCTTCCACACCGTCGGATCGAAAGCTCCGAAGCGCAACATTGCAGAGCACTACTCGTGATCCAAGTAGAGGCCCCTTTTGCCTAGGGTGCAGTCTCGGGCAATTCGTGTAAGTGTAAAGCAAGGACTGGCAATCGCGAGATTATAAAACTTATGGAACGAACCCCGAACCTTTGAGTCCGGACTTAGCGTGGGCAGCTCAGATATCATCACGCTGACGGATTCCTGCCCCGGCGTTTTCGGGTTCGTATGTGCACTGACTAACCTATCCACTTGGAATGGGAATTGTCTGGGGGGATGATGCATTGCACAAGGGTTTTTCCAATTTGTATATCTTGAAATATCGTATGCTTGCATTTTGTGCACGCTAGCGCTCATTTCCACTACTCTCTGTCACAACATAAAAAAACTTGTACGTACCGTACCGCCTTCAAGCACGCACACGGTGACGGGGGCTTCTGAACTTGTGGAGACGTGGTGGGTGGGTAAGTCAATCTCGCTCGGGCAAATGCGGTGGTCCAGTTTGCACTTCGAACGGTATATCCAACGAAGGCCGGCGGGTATGGTACTTTAGTCAGCTACCTACGGTACAACCGACTGGTATCTCATTCAGGTATTTACCTATGATACAACCCTACCTGGAATTCCAGTTCGTCTGGCTAGATAGATAGAAAGATAGAGTGGTTACACCCACATCGAGATTGCACTCACGGTGAGATTCTTTCCTTCAAGGGCGGTTTTCTCATCTTGATTATCGGGTTGCTGGTATCATGAGGAATCTCGCTGTCCGTGCGAACCCGTTGAGGGTGCGGCAACTTTAGATGGTTAGAATGATCCAAGATCTTTCCCACCGAAGATGTAATGGGGGTGTCAGACCTACCTCTTGCACCGGTGTATGGCTTGCTGTTTGGTTTCTCGGTTTTGCCGTGTCCAGGAGGGAAGCCTGCTACTCATCCCCGCGCCTACTGCTGGGCTTGGGACGCGCTGTTTCTAGGCGGGTTAGTTTCGCGGTTGGTGGTTTTGCTTCGGATCATTTCATTACTGGATAGCGAGGGTGGAGTTTGGAAGTTGTAGGGTGCGTTGGATAATGTATTGTTAGTTAGATGGCTAGAGTATGATATACCTGACCCATCTAGAGTACCGGTATCCCTTATAGAGGTGAAACAAGTTCAATGCATCGAAGAAATTACATCGTCGTGGTCGGGGGGAAACTGGGGTTCAGATTACTGCTAAGAGGAACATAAGGATAAAAGTAAAAGTAAAAACTCCCAAGCATTACGACAGCATCGGGGCCTGTATGGGTACAGTTCTCAATTATGTCCAATTCCATGAAATGGAGGGGAAATACGAATGGCGGGGAACAACATGGCGCTGCGGTAGCCCCCGGGAACGCCATGTTAGGTCCTCTGATCTCGGAAAGGACGGCCTATGCGTAGTTTATGTATCCATCCATCCACCTATCACTCGCGGATATCAGAACGGAAATAAGGAGGAAATGAGTGTGGAACATGGAGAAAAAAATAGAGAGAAAAGAGGTTTTGTGACAAAGGACCCACGTGGCTGGGGAATGATAACTAGTGTAACTAGTACGAGTTAATAAATGAGATAGTCCCCCGACTGCAATATTGGGTAATAAGGACTAAAGAGCGCAGCGGTGGAGTGAGTGGGATAGAATGGGATTGGAGTGGTGTTCGACCGTTCTCGTCCGGGCGATTGGAGTCAACATCGTCCCGCCCCAGGAGCAGTTTCACCACTCCTTCGTGCCCACTAACAGCCGCACACCCGAGCGGTGTTCGATCATTCTCGTCCGGGCGATTGGGGTCGACATCTTCTCTCCTTAGGAGCAGTTTCACTACTCCCTCATGTCCCTCGACAGCAGCACACCCGAGCGGCGTCCGACCATTCTCGTCGGGGCGATTGGGGTCAACATCTTTACGGCCCAGTAGTATTTGCACAACTCCTTCGTGCCCGTTACCAGCGGCCCACGAGAGCGGTGAATTGCCTCCACTATCTAGCCTGTCGGGGTCGACATCCTTTCGCTTCAGGAGCAGTTTCACCACTCCTTCATGCCCATCGACAGCAGCACACCCGAGTGGTGTTCGATCATTCTCATCTGGGCGATTGGGGTTGACATTATCTCGCCCTAGGAGCAGTTTCACCACTCCCTCATGTCCATTGATAGCAGCACACACGAGAGGTGCTCGATCAATCTTGTCCGGGCGATTAGGGTAGACATCTTCTCGTCCTAGGAGCAGTTTCACCACTCCTTCGTGTCCCTCGACAGCAGCACACCCGAGTGGTGTTCGATGATTCTCGTCCGGGCGATTGGGGTCGGTATCTTTTCGCACTAGGAGCAGTTTCACCACTCCCTCATGTCCCTTGATAGCAGCACACCCGAGTGGTGTTAGATTATTCTTGTCCGGGTGATTGGGGTCGACATCTTCCTGCCCCAGGAGCAGTTTCGCCACTTCTTCACGTCCATCGACAGCAGCGCACCCGAGTGGCATTCGACCGTTCTTGTCCGGGCGATTGGGGTCGACATCTTCCCGCCCTAGAAGTAGTTTCACCACTCCCTCATGTCCTTTGATAGCAACACACCCGAGGGGTGTTAGACCATTCTTGTCCGAGCAGTTGGGGTCGACATCATCTCGCCCTAGGAGCAGTTTCACCACTCCTTCATGTCCTTTGATAGTGGCACACCCGAGTGGTGTTAGACTATTCTTGTCCGGCCGGTTGGGGTCGACATCTTCCTGCCCTAGGACCAGTTTTACCACTCCTTCATGTCCATCGACAGTAGCACACCCGAGTGGTGTTCGACCATTTTCGTCGGGGCGATTGGGGTCAACAGCTTTCTGGTCCAGTAGTAGTTTCACGCCTCCTTCATATCCGTAGCCAGCGGCCCACGAGAGTGGTGAATTGTCCCTATTATCTGGCCTGTCGGGGTCGATATCTTCCTGCCCTAGGAGCAGTTTCACCACTCCATCGTGTCCCCTGATAGCGGCACACCCGAGCGGCGTTCGACCACCCTCACCGGGGAAATTGGGTCGACACCTCCCTGTTTCAGCAGTATCTTTACCACTCCTTCATGTCCATACCCCGCTGCCCATGAGAGTGGTGTACCGCCTGTGCAATCTGGTTGGTTAACCTCCCAACCTTTTGCATTCACCAATGCAACCACAAGTTCAACAATCCCGAAGAAAGACGCGCAGTGTAGCCCAGAGAACAGCGTGGGAGCACCAATGGCCCCGATATCACCCGCCTGCAGTACTTGCTTCAAAAGTGATACAGCGGATATGTGATCTTCGTACTGGTTCAAGAGCTCCAACGCAAGGGCCCTCGCGTGGTCTGAGAGCCGCCTGTTCGCATGTATTCCCCAATATCTCGAAGAATATTGGAGGAATGGCACACTTTCCTGGTCTGGGGGAGGATAGGGTGGGAGGCTCTTAACCAGTTGTGAGTTCAGATAGGTCAAACAGGCCTCTGCAATTATCGGGTGAGGTTTATTGCAGAGGTCTAGATGAGTGCAAAGATAATCCTGGGCAGAAGAGTGAATTAGCCGCACCGTCGAAGCCTCCTTATCCACCGTGATCAGGCCTTGACAACATATTAGTAGTGTATCTATCGAAGGAACATTTTCGGTATTGAAATCCGCTGCTCCTATCTCAACTACCAGCGCATGGCGCAGCTCATCCACCTGCAATGGTCGTTCCGAATGACAGATCCATGTGAGAGTGGCCATCGCAATTCTTGTCTTTTCGCCGTCTTGAGCCTTTATCCGGTCCATCGTCACACCATAGATGTCCCCTAACCCTTCCCCGTCTTTCACCGACTTGAGCCTCTTTCCTCGGCGGGGAATAGTGGTTTCTCGCAGGATCGCCTCAATATGGAAAGAAGCCAGTAGGAATCTGGATTCAAATGTCAGCCATTAAACCGAGGTACCTTTGCCATTGCTCTCGTTCCTACATACGTTTCGGAGCTTATCTCGGGAATGATCTTCATAATATCTGCCTCCAATGAGCTGCTCATTATCTCCGGGGTAGTGTCGTTCCTGAGTTTATCATGTAGATATCTAATAACACCATCTTCCGTAGGTTGTATTAATATAAAACTTGTTTTTCCATCCAATTTCCTCTCAACCTCACTTCGAACATGCGGTCTTCCCGTCATAAATATGCGAATATTCGGCGACCCCCTGAGAACCTGCCCTAGTGATTCAAGAACTACCATTCGATGTGCTGGCACATATTCGTCAAGAGCGT